AGTAGAAAATTGTTTAAATTTTGTAAATTTTTTTAGTTGAAGTCCGTAATCCATCTAACCTACCATAATTAGACTGAATATAATTTTTCAGAGATTTTGTTCAGGAAACTGCTGTAAAGTAATCTAAGTTGTCTAAAATACGAATGATTTTTTACTACATGATCTCGGCTTGACATAAGTTTTTTAAGACACTTAGGTTTCGACTTAAGTTGAAATTAATTCCGAATAACTACACGGCTTTTGGGAAAACTTTCAGAATAGAAAGAACAATTAGTTTTTCTGACTCGAAAGTGTAAAAGCAAAATGTTTACGCCATTAAATAGGCCATGATTCAAAGTACACGTAGGTTGGACCGTTCAAAGAATAAACAGGGGTAGTGTCCCTCAGCCCTCTTAACCCAACCTTGGCGGAATCGTCTTGCCCTCATGCGATGGTATAAAGTTAATTCATCCGAAAATCTTCACTTACAAAGACCCCGCCGTTATGTACCGCGATCGCTTCATAGAAGCTACGCGTGGTTCCTGGACTTGTCTGAGCGATTTTTGGTCTCATATTTTTTGCGTGGTTGTGTATGCGAGTACGTATCTTTTTTATGTTGTGTGTACTTAAGTGATAGGCTAAAAATGAAAACCGTTCATTCTCATCTCTTTTTAACCTGCTTCCATTTGCTGGATGATGAGCGAATTAGGCGCAAAATCTGCGAATTCAAGTCCTATAGTATTTCAAATAATCTTATGAGTCAGTTAGCAAAATTATAAAATTGACTTGCAGTGATCAAGAAACTGGCGATTTTTTCCAATGGGTGCGTTAAACTCGAATACACACACAGAAGAACAGACCAGACATGCACCGGTTTCGGTTGGAAACGATATTAATAAAGTACACTAGTAAAATAGCTATAAAAGTCAATTTTTTAATCAATTTAGAAGTTTTCTATTTTACAATTGAAAAATGAAACCAAAAACGAAATAACTTGAGTCGACATTCATGAACTAGAAGGACCAATTTTCCACAATTCTCATATGCAAAACAGATTTTCTCGCTGCTGTGGGCTCATTATGTTTAATTCACACTTTATGATCACTGTAACAATATCCTTAATACTATAGTATAGATTTCCGATGAGTATTCAACATTACAATTATGTTCGTCCTTTATTCTATCTTCTCTGATGTAAAGACATCATCAATAATTATACAAAGTGCGCCTATTAGTTTTACTTTTATTGTACACACATATAAAAATACTTCTTCCAAGACTAGTTCATAGAAAAAACAACAAATGTCTGCTATATTTACAACTAAGATATACACTCAAAACCATCCACCACCGCCATATCCACCACCACCAAAAATGGCTATTCAAAAATAATGAGGTAGACCACACTATACTACTTCTTATAGTATTCAAAACTTCAAAATCTTTTTTAGCAAAGCTTTTCTTTGTAATACTGATGATGGATTATAATTTGCACAAATCAACCTTTGCCAACAAATAGCTTTTGTCTCATGCAAAATTACGACTGAATATTCAACAAGTACTTTTTTTTATCAGCTCATACTAGAATGACCTCTATCCACCACCATATCCACCATCATATCCACCACCATATCCTCCTATGACTATTCAAAAATAATGGTTTTCATTGAAGAACACAACTCTCTACATGTTATTATCAAAAGCGTGATAACATCATTTTTGCATTACTGGTCGTATCCACCTCCATAACCTAATCCACCACCAAGATGACCTGCGAAACAAAAACAATATAATAATAATAGTACATTCTGTATCACTAACTCCGTGCTACATACTATTTATATCATTGTTTAACCATTGATCTACCCCCGTTTGTCCAACTTGACTAAAAAATCCTATAATAGAATGAATAAACTTGTACTTGTTATTTCTGCACTTAATCCCGTCTCTTTAAATTAAACTAGATAAATCTGCAGATGGGTAAAACTTATAGCCGTTTGCACAAAAAAATGTCATGTGAACTTTTCTGACGATCTCCATAGATTTCAATAGTCCAAGTAATAATAAAAAATTTCAGACAGTTGCTTCCATTTATATTTGGGAAAAAGTAGTTTTTCCGAGAAACTCAAAAATATCTTCATGTCTATGCTGACAGAAAAACATCAAATGGGCTTGAAAAAATAACTTTTCTATATCAGCCGATAAATTTCAGTAAAACCGATCAGATGAGAGCCACTTCGGTCCATTTAAGGATAGTTTTTTGTTATTTGAAACTCTATTATGACTGTTTGTCCCTGAGGTTCTATTTTAGACAAAAAAGACTGGTTTAGATATTTTCGACTAAGATTCAAGTTTAGTGGTCACAGAGTTCTAGGTGCAGATACGTATCAGGACAGAAACAACTTCAGTTAGTGTACCATACAAAATAACTTAGATCCCTCGGATAAAATCATCTATTCGTTCATATCAGACAGAATTAACCTGTGTGTGTCGTGATACATGTATAAAGATAACGCTTAAACATATTCCACTCAGATTAAAATTTCAACTCTTCATTGGTAAGTAGCGCTAAAAAATATGAAACCGACAATGTAACTGTTATATCGCGTGAACAGAAGTAGTTCAAGAGTCATATTTCAGAAATGTGCAGATTAGTTCTTATGAATAGAACACAAAAAAAATTAAAAAAACTCGTTCAAAACCAAAAAGTTATTCGTTTTTTACTCTTCGCATGAGGGTTAAGATAAGCTAGACGAGAAATGCTGGAAGAGAGCGCTACTATCAACGTAATTTTGTGAGATTTTACGCTGATTATAGCGAGTTTCCTCCAGCGTTTCCTCTAGCTTAAATTAACCTCGCATGAGAACTGAAAACGGCTCCACATTTCACCCAGATACATTTTTTGATAAGAGAGAACAAAAATTTTACCGTTGCCAGGAATAAAGTTATTCACAAATCGATCTGCTGCATTATCAACGAAGGCATCAGCAATATTCCAGCCAAAGCCAGCCATTTTATTTGAAATAATAAAATATAATGTATGAAATAAGATTATTGACAATACAATAGTAATGAGTGATTGTTGGGCTTTTTATAGATCCTGTACAATTACGTCACTCTTCTACCCAGTATCAGTAAACCATACACAAATTTACGCTGTTATTATTATTTTCAAGGCTTTATTTTTGATAAACAAATAGGTGTTTCACATCATGAAGTTTTGTATTATATTATTGAAAATATACCACACCTCAAACAATATGAGCAACCTGGAAGTTCGACATAAAGTACATTCTTATCACATAACGTTGTATCACACCTAAGAATGACCTAGAATTTTCTCTTTATAGCCACAGTGCAATGGTGAGGAAATAGTGCATCTTTCTGAGATTGCAAATTAATAGAAAGGTTTTGTTGATCTTTTTGCTGTTTTCCGTATTTTATATGCGTAACAAGTATCTCCTGACCCACTAACTTTTGACTAGTTTTAAAAAATGTAAAAAGAAAATTTTTTTAACTTTATTTTTTGCTTTAACGTTCTCTCTACAAATTTTATTCATTGCTTGAAAACTTTTAGAACACCTTGAGAAGAAAACACTAGAAGAAACAGTCACAAAATTTAGGAGTCGAAAAATATCATTTGATAACGTCCAAGCTATACGATTGAGTTTTCGTAACCAGTGGAGACCTACAATTCGATCCAGTTCGGGCTACGTTTTCTTAACTGAAACAGGTTTATACACACCAAGCAAAGAGACTACCAGAATACCGACAAGTGCACTTACTAGAGGTGTGCAGGGTACGAGTTTTTTGTACCCTGTACCCTACCCTATAGAAATTTCTCACACCTTACCCTATCCTACCCTATTAGCTTTCACACCCTGCCCCACCCTACCCTATTGACTTCAGACAGTTTGCACCGTACACCCTACCCTACACCTACTCTGTAAAAAAGGTACTCCAGCGAACCTAAAAAGGGTTTAAACTTTTGTCACCATCTATATACCTTTTTAAGGTTTCACACAAACTACGAAACCTTCTAAGGTTTCATACAGACAGCACCCTACATCCGTCACTGAAAAAGGTATATAGATGGTGACAAAAGTTTAAACCTTTTTTAGGTTCGGTAGAGTACCCTTTTTTTAGAGAGTATACATAAGAAAGTAGAAGTAAAATAGGGATCATTCGTTCAGCGATCGACATTCGTTTTTCTAGCTACAGTTTTATTCAAAAACTCCACATCCACATCCAATGGCAACAGGCATAGACCTTCTCTGATGGATAACGAAGTCATGCACCACTTAAGGAGCGAATATCTCTCAATACTAAGCATTCTTTATCCCATAGGGTACAGTCTATGACAAACGTCTCAACCTGTGCTCTATCCTATAAAAATGTTTCGTACCCTTAACCTACCCTACCCTACCCTAATAGGACAGGACAGGGTAGGGTAGGGTGATCCTGCACACCTCTAACACCTACTACGTTGTGATGTAGAATGTAGTTCCTATCGCTTTCGAGAAAGCTGTTCATGGTTCATAGTAGGCAAGGAGAGCTGAAGGACTCTTTGTCGGACTAGTATTCTGTCCTGAATTGTTCTTCTGTTGGATCGTACAGTCCTTCGCAAACACAAAATGAACGTGGCAATCTACTATCCGTTTTAATATATAGCACCATCTCATCTTTTTCGAATAACTTCTGAACTAAAAGAGAAAGATAGGTCGAGTTTTCGCCATTTTATAGAAGAGATCGTATTGAAAGTCTGAATATTATTATGCTTGTCTATTTTCATTAGTTGGATATACAATATCTTCAAGATCAGATATTAATTTATCAGCTAACGACACATTTCCGTTATATCTTAAATAAAATGGTAAAAATAATGTTTTCTTTTTCTTCTTTTCTTTCAATTTAAACATGACTCATTTATTTTCTTACACAATTGTTACTCAATATTCGTATTAATAAATTATGTTTGACATAGGTAGAAAAGAGTCTGTAACTTTCTTCAAGAAAATAAAATGCATCCACAATCAAAATTTCAGGGTCGCGGTGGCCAACGTCAACGGAAACAAGTCCCACGATTTCGTCGTAATGAGAAAATTGATGATTATGATGAAGAGGCAGAACGTATTCAAAAAGATTTAGAATCAAAATATGAATGGACATCGGATTTAGTTGAAACAGAAACGGGTCATGGATTAGGTTTATTAAATTCTGAAAATGAGGATATTTATGCATGCCTATTTCAAAATGATAATAATGAGACAATCCAATACAAATATGGTGTTGATGAAAATAAAGAATTATTTCAATTGAATATAGATGAATTGAATGGGGACGAACTAAAGAGACAATGGAATGATGTTGATAGTGATTTGTTGAAAAATAAAAATTATTATTCAACGTTGGATACTACAGATAAAGTACAATTGAATTTAGAAGACAAAATGATTATTCAATTAAAATTTACAGTGAAAGATAATGATGGTAGTGGAAAAGAACAATTTGACTGGTTAAATCCAAATGAATTAAAACGAAGACAAATGGAACAGAATAAACAGTTTTTAAGTGGAGAAAAATTTACAGATAAGGTAATTATAGAAGAAAGTCAATGTCAATGCTTTATCTATCTTTTCTATTTAGATTTATTTGGATTCAACCAATAATCCTATCACATTGTCTGTAGATGATTTGTACATGCCTGTTCTAGACACAAATGAATCTCGTTCATCAACTATCAATTTGAGTTTGCCTGACGTAATAAAAGATGAGTACAAGTGGCCAACAGAGCACCGGTCTGTAACATTATCATTACCCGTTAAAATAGTAGAAACTACATATAGTCTCAGTGGTGGTCAATCTGCTGTTCAATTAGATGCTCAACTCGGTTCTCAGTCATGGTCATTAGATGTCTTAAAAGAAACTGTGTCTTGTTTACTGAGTTTACCAGATGACAGTCACAAATCGCATCAGTTATCCTTGCCAGAGACAATCAAATTTAACTTATCTCTTGATCAAAATTGGAAACAATTATTTTCATTAGGAAAATGTGGTCGACTAAAAATTCGTTTGTCTCTTGATGATAACATATCACATACACCCAATCTATTTCTAATCGGTACAATGCCTGTAGAATGGGATTTTGGACACGAATCGAATTGGAATCCACAAGTCTATTCAACTATACCAACTATGGCCGAACTCGTTCATATTTTATCACCCTTTGATGTCACACTTCAATCTATAATATCACCACAAGATGCTGAATCGATCAAATTAGAACAACTTATTCTTGAAACAGATGTAAGTATGCGAGCCTTTCGACGAATAAGATGTAAACACATGTCAACAAAAGAAAAATTGAATGATGTATATGATATCACAGATGATAAACAGTATGAAATAAAAGTTAATGCTATTTCGGAAGAAGAAAATAAAGAAATTATTTTTGATTTACAACAAACAAATGGTAGGTAGATTTAGGAGAAATAAGCTACGTTTCATTAAATATGAATGTGTTATTTTTAGATCATTTATCAACTGATAACTATGTTAATTTATTGAGTGAATTTGACACAAATCTCGACTTTGATTTTAAACCCGATGATGATATTAGTCAATCGTCTCTAAATATGTGTTCTACAGATCCGTGTTTATATCGTCGAGATTATATATGTGAACCACCAAAAACATGGTCTCAACTTCGACGTGAAATTGGTCATGTGTCATTTAATGCTGCTTTAGATCAGCCAACATATAGTTTTGATAAGTCTTTTAAACGCTATGTACATATACCACCACCCGTTCTCAAATATCACCAACAACAACAACAACAACAACAAAAATTTCGAAAAAGATTGCCAAGGTGTTCGTATAACGTTCGTGACGGTTATGAACAATTTATTGAGAGAATTAAAAATGAGGAGAACTATTTAAAAAAACATGATTCAATGGATCTGAGACATTTGATTGAATGGTACAACAATAAACAATATCTATTTGAACAAAAAACAGTTCGACGAAAATATAAACAACGCTTACTAAAAAAACCTGATGTTATCTGCCGTCGATTGGTATTACGAACAATTTTGGCTAATTTATATTGTGATAGTGAACAGTGGAAATTGTATGTGATTAAAATGAAAGGCACCTATTATTTAGCCATGGGTAACAAATCTGCTTCAATGAATAAAGCAGCAGATGATTTAACATTTGATGAATATAGTGGCTATAAATTTGAATCACTATTTACGTCTGCTCAGCCAAATAAAAAACCTGACAATAAACCAAATATAGATAATCCACAGCACGGATTTCATAGTGTTCAATATTGGACATTTGGAGAATTCAATCTTTTATATTCGAATGAAATTGATGGTGAATTGAAAGATCAATCAAGTGCTGATGAAACACCAACCAAAATCAAACACGAACACGTTAAAGAGGTAAGACTGTGATGGTACTGCTCTGAAACTACGCTCAACTATTTCGTGTCAACTTCTTAACTGAGATTGCTACTACAGCATAAGGAAAATCATCCTCTTCAGAAAAAAAATGTGTACATTATACGATTAATTTATGCCACACTAATATAAGTTGTAGACTACCAAGTGAATAAGTCATCTGAATTTTAACCTCGAAGTATCGAGACGTCCAAAACATGGAAATATCGCAAGGATCAAAATAGACTGAAAGTACGGATAGAATAACTCCTTTTTTGCTCACCCATGAAATATACTTTTCTAACTAGAAGTCGTTCGTGAGAAAAATGTATCTTACTTACTAAGTGATAATCATGCCAACATCGCCAATAAGAAAATTAATTATTTATCCATTAGTGTTCTTTTTTAGAAAAATGCTTATAACTTTCTCTTAGTGACGAACAGAGCTGCGCTACATCTATCTCATCTTAACAAAAAAATGTCTTGTTTATAAATGAAAATAATTGAAAAAAAGGTGCATGCAGAATTTAACGAGAAATTGATTGAGTTTTAACAACCCCAATCCATAGAGCATATAACTCTTTTGAAAATTTACAAGAATCCAACAAAATATGAAAAATGATATAGATTGTAAACATAGGTATCTTAAACTATTCAGCCTTATTTAAAAAAACTCGAATTTTATGTTTTGTTAAAAAATCGAATTTCTGAGACGGAAGCGGTTCTTTTATAGATAGAAAAATTATTCAAAAGTTGACTTGTTCTATATATTTTTCTAATTTTAGGACAACAACAGTGTTACTGAAGATGTTGTAAAAGAAAAGGAAGAAATTATTGAGCACATAGAAACTGAACAGACATCTGGCAATGATGAGAAGGAAAAGTAAGTGATTGATGATACCGATATTTGTTTGTTTCATAAATTGAAAGTCTTTTTTTATAGTTTGCAACAACCATCTCTCACTTCTAATATTGACTGGTGGAATGTAAATGAAAATAATGAGTGGGTGTCTACAAATGAAAATAATGAGTGGATGTCTACAAATGAAAATAATGAGTGGGTGCCTACAAATGAAAATAATGAGCGGGTGCCTACAAATGAAAATAATGAGCGGGTGCCTACAAATGAAAATAATGAGCGGGTGCCTACAAATGAAATCGTGACAAAAAATGAAATTAATCTTACCAGTAGCTCGCATGAACTCATGCAAACTTCACCGATAGAAACCAGGATAGATAAATTACAAGATGACATAGAAGAATCAAGTGACGATGAAAGCGAGACATCAGAAGAAAATGAAAAAGAAGTAGACATTCAACAAAATTTGGCAATAATTGAAGAAAATTTAAATTTGATAAATGACGACAGCAACAACGACACTGTTTTACCAGTTCTAGAAACAGAACAACAAATGGATCTAGCAAACACAAAGGAAGAAGAAGAAGAAGAAGAAGAAGAAGAAGAAGAACAGGAAGCAGAGCAAAGAGAAGAAAACATTCCAGTAGTAGCTTCAATTCGACGCGAACCACAATATCAAAATTCTATGACATGTTTAACAGCAAAAAATTCATATATTGAATTAAAATGTACAAACCATAAAATTAGATATCGCGATGAAGCAAAAATGAAGACACTACATTGGTGGGCTCAGATGTGGCTCTGTAATATCGATAAATTACTAATTGGTTATCGTTCATCGTCCGGTTACATTGATCAACTTCAATATTTAGAATTGAAACAATTAGTTGGTAAATTCATGGGAAAATATGATTTGAGATTAAAATATTGTTTATCCTATTTATACGGTTTTTTGAAACTAATTAAAAAAACGATTATTAACGATGATCCAACAATAGTTCACTGCTTTCATTACATACCACAACCGCTGGAAGTTGACACAGATTTACCTAGACGTATTCCATTTAAACATACACAACACAAACGTGCAGAAAAACATCAGTTATTTGTACCCGATTGGTACGTCACAGAACTACATCGAACAGTACCAAAGATTCTATTGACTAAATCGGATATGAAAACAATCGACGAAGAATTGAAACCAAAACAATCGCATCGCGGAAGAAAAAAACATCAAATAGTAAAAAACTTCACCACTAGGAATAAACAAACCGTGAAAACATAGAATAGCTTTATACTTTTGTGATAGATTATTACTTCCACTATTACAATACAATCTTGAAAATATTCCTCCATTTCTCCAGAAATGAAATGAACAGGGCATATCTATAGATAGTTTGTTCTAACGATGGAATCCCACCAACTGTTTAAAAGCTTTTGGCCTGTAAGTAAGACTCGGTGGGATTAGAAAAAATCCAAAAGGATTTATCTTCATAGGTCTGATTGGTTGGAGTATAAACATTTCATGTCTGCGATGAGAAACATGCGTACGTAGTTTGTTGCGCTTGAATCATTTCAAAAGTCAAAATTGTTACTAAAAATACCCATAATTAGGAATGTTTCAATCATTTTTTCATCAATTATCACATCTACCAATCTGCCGCGCGCCAAAAAAACTTATAACTCGTTTTCTAACCACTCTAGTGTTCCAGTCAAATGCTTCAGTTTTCAGTGCCTATGAATTAATCAAGACTAAGGAATTTTTAGAACTCTGTACATCACTCTCAGGATGATTCATATTTTGGAACCTCAAGCGTAAAATATTCCTAATAATGGGTATTTTTACTAACAATTTTGGCTTTTGAAATGATTCAGTCTTGCGGTTCAAGCGCAACAAACTACGTACGCATGCTTCTCATTGCAAACATGAAACGTTCATACTCCAACCAACTAGACCTTTGAGTGCAAACCCTTTTAGATTTTTTCTAGTTCCACCAAGTCCTACTTACGGGCACAATATGAGCCCAAAAGATGGGATTCCCGTGTGAAAGACAGCCTATCAAAACACTATCTCAATTCAAAAATTCTAAGACCTTTAGCAGAGCCATAAGCCAACATGTCGTTAAAAAGGAAACAAGGAGCAAATTCAAATTTAATCTGAATGCTAAAAGAGAAACGCTGATTCAAACAACTGTTCATAAAAACCTAAACTTCGTATCAATGTAAACGGCTTTTCAGTCAAGAGACAAGTCAAACAAACAAAAAAAAACGGTGTTTAATAAAAACGTCTACTCTATGTATTCGTGTTTAAAAACAGATACAAAAAATCATCGGTACATTTACCGCTTATTTATGGTAAAAATACGCAGAAGTGAGATAAAACAGAGGCTATATAGATATGCACAGAACAAAAGTAAAACCATAGAAGTATGGAATGGGAGCAAAATCAAGTTTCTAGCGTAAATAATTCACAGTATCTCTATAGAACTTGTAACGTTGTAACTTTTTGTGTGATCATCGTGATATATTTCATAATCATTGCCACCCTAAATAGAAACAGAAACTCACATTCAAAACAGGTAAAATGAGACTGAGTATGATAAACACACAGTGGGCATTTAGGCGGCATTTTCTGAAAAAATCGTAGGTACGAAATTTTCTGTTTTGAATAGCGGTATATATAGTGTAAACAATGCCCTATTTAACAGTGAAAAAATTTTTGTTCTAGCTGC